GAAGGTATTGAAATTGGGTTGATCCCAAAAGGTTTGGAATTGATGGATGAATTGTGTGTTCTGCGAAGTTTTGGAATGCTAAGCTTGTAGTCATAACCATTTGATTGACATCTCATTGGTGGGTTCCCTTCATTTTCGGTTTCTATCTTTGGTACCTGCAACAAATTACCCTAGCTTCGTATACTTTAGAGCCCGTTTGATAACCATTGCGTTTTTAGTTCAATTTTCATTGTTGTGTTAGTGATAGAGGGTAAATACATGGGAGAATTAAGGAATATAGAAGGGTGGAGGAAGCCTTTGGGAGAGATGGATAAGAAATGTATAAGGCGGAAATTTAAACTAAGACAAAACGAAAAAGAATCTTAAGTTGTTTTCACTTTAAAGGGAACTGAAAATGGTCATCAAAAGGATCCGTGGTGTATGGAGTGCGCAATGACAAGACAATTATCATTTATTTTATGATTACTGTCCCCATTTATCTGAATGTGATTTGTACTTTCAGGTGAGGGTGATTTTGCATCAGAATCAGATACATGTATGTCTTAACCTATTAAGCGATAGCGAGTTAGAACAGTCATGCCAGGAGACAATAGTGTTGGCAGCCCACCAACCCCAAGGTCCCCAACTGCTCGACTTCGGCATCGTAGACGCTCAGCTGAGGTTTGTTAAAATTTGAAACTTTTCTTATTTTCTTTCATGCATGTAGAGTTCTGGGCTGTCTAGCTTTATTCTCTATGATTTTATATCTAATAAAATTGTTGGGGACAATATGAATTTGTATGGTAGTTTAAATAATGTAGAGCATACATTCGAGTTTCTCCTTATTTTTTTATACATTTTTCTCAGTTTTGTAAATGATCATTTGCCTGTTTTTAAGTTAGGGGCTTAAGTCGTTGCTTCTGTATAATAGTGTGTTTTTATTTTGTGCTCTTATTCAAACCAAAACAAATAAAAAGAAAAAGAAAGTTTTTATGCATGTGCAGTATTAGATGTAGGAATTTTAGATTAAGGGGTTATTCATTTATTTACTTTATGGCTGCAGGCTCTTCCTGATGTTAGTAAAGCAAATGGAGGCGATTTACTGGTTAATGACCGTAATAAATACAGGTCAATGTTGGTACGTGCATACTCTTCTGTTTGGATGATTGGAGGTTTTGCATTGATTATATATCTGGGTCATCTCTGCATCACTGCCATGGTGGTGGTTATCCAAATCTTTATGGCAAAGGAGCTGTTTAATCTACTCAGGAAAGCTCATGAAGATAAGCACCTACCGGGATTCAGGATTCTAAATTGGTCAGAATAGTAGCATTTCACTTTTTGTAGTGTATTTTACTCCAGAAATCTGTTCAGGTGTTATTTAAAGAGTGTTGCTGTAATATTTATTCAAGTTCAACTTCTCTGCTCAGGCACTTTTTCTTCACTGCGATGCTGTTTGTTTACGGTCGCATACTCAGTCAACGGCTTGTCAACACTGTAACTTCAGATAAAGTTTTATATAAGCTTGTCAGCAGTCTTATCAAGTATCATATGGTTGTCTGTTATTTCTTGTACATCGCAGGTTTGTTACACATGATATGTTTGTGTTTACACTTTACACAAAACAGCTTTAAGAAACTTATATTCAAGTTCTCTTTACAGCCAAATAATTGGTTGACGTGAAATTGGATTTCATTGTTGTCTCTTGTTGAGCAGCATCTAATACTATATTTGATTTGTATAGTGGTTTAATTGATGAACATTGTTTAGTTGGTGTTTGTCCTTTCCCCTTTTATATAACTCAGATGATACTGATGTTATTCCTTTCCCCATGATTGGGTTCAGGATTTATGTGGTTCATTCTTACACTAAAGAAGAAGATGTACAAGTATCAGTTTGGCCAGTATGCGTGGACGCACATGATTCTAATTACTGTGTTTACCCAGTCCTCTTTCTTTGTAGCAAACATCTTTGAAGGAATTTTCTGGTAATTCAAGTTACTGTAGGAACACACTCACACATTACTTCTTTTTTGTTTCTTTCTCTGAGACGAAGACAAAATTGATGCAGGTTTCTTCTTCCAGCTTCACTTATTGTAATCAATGACATTGCTGCTTATATCTGTGGTTTCTTTTTTGGAAAAACCCCTTTGATCAAGATATCACCAAAGAAAACTTGGGAGGGATTCATTGGAGCGTCAGTTATAACTATCATATCAGCATTTTTGGTGAGTTTGCTAATTAATTTGGTGATAGCAAATAGACTTCTCTTGTCTTACATGAAAGAGAAATCTTAGTTTCAGTCAGATTGCCGTGATTTCTTTTTTTTTTTTTTTTTTTTTTATCTTATGCTCCAGTATGATAATTATATGACTTGAAATGCCACCAGAATTGGTCACGATACATCTCAACTTTTAGAAATTTGTATCTTGCCAGTATTATTTGCGCATTGTAACATCCATGCCTCTTTTTATATCTCAGCCATGGGCACATATTTAGAAGATTTTTCCTTGAGGACTTGTCAAACCAAAAGTTTTCCTCTTTAAATATATCAAAATTTACTTTTTGATTGCATGCTTCAGCCGGATGTACAATGTTCTGGGATGTATAAACATTCTGACTATGAGTTCTATGTGAATACATGATAAGACGTTAATTTATTCAATTGAAGTTATACAAACATGGTATGAAAATTTGTTTATGCAGCTTGCAAATATCATGGGTCGTTTCCAGTGGCTAACGTGTCCAAGAGGGGTAATGATTCTGATTAATTTTTAGTCAATTGGTATAGGAAAGAAATGGTATTTCAGTTGTAGTTAATTTTCCACTGGTTTCTGTTGATGCACTTGCAGGATTTATCGACTGGTTGGCTTGATTGTGATCCAGGCCCATTGTTTAAGCCAGAGTATTATACTTTTCCAGAATGGCTCCCACACTGGGTAAACTGACACTTCTTGATTCTGTAATTACAATGACAGCATACCCGTTTGTGTATTGTAGTAAACCATAGATCATGTTATCCCTATGAAATTGTGAATTTAGTCTTTTTGTTGGAGATCAGTTATTTGACTTGTTTTCCACTTTTTGATAATGAAGTCATTATTTGGCCAAAGATTTTTGTTTTAAGTGCTCATAGAACATGCATGTGCCTATTTTATACGATAATTAGTCTCTACAGTCTGTTTTTCTTTTCAAACTGCTGTTTTGAACTTAGCTTTTTGGGATTAGATTACTGTTGTTAAATGTTCTTCTTATTCTTCCATGCTCATAAAATTCATTCTAACAGTTCTTTCAGTGGATCAGCAGGCTCTCTCTTAGTATTAGCAGTGAGATGATTGTATTTAGAGACTGCTTCAGTTATCTAAAAGCCATGCTTGCAGTTGAACATGATACATAAATTTGGATTCTTATAAATTAGGGACTTTTAACAAAAAGCTCTTGGTACTGTTCACTTTAACGAAAAACCAAATTTTTACACTAAAATGTCAATCCTGCTTTACCCTTTATTTTGTTATTTTCGTTAAAACTTAAAGCTTTCAAGCCTTTTTCATTAGTTTTCCTAATTTATATGACTGAAATATAATCTTTATCATTTTTTGTGATGCAGTTTCCTTGGAAAGGGATTTCAATTTTGCCAGTTCAATGGCATGCGTTATGTCTTGGTTTGTTTTCATCGATAATAGCTCCATTTGGAGGCTTCTTTGCAAGTGGCTTTAAAAGGGCTTTTAAAGTCAAGGTTTACTTCTGACGATGTAATTTGGATTGATGCAATTTTGCACAGTAAGCTTCCGTTTGAAATAATTTCTAAGATTCTTCCATTTATCATAGGATTTTGGTGATAGTATCCCGGGACATGGTGGAATCACAGACAGAATGGATTGCCAGGTACGATTTTCCTAAATAATAACTATAATATTTTTTTCAATCAGAGTACTCTAAATTACTTGGAGTGGATCGCTCATACTATTTACTATTGCGTCCATTTCCCACCTTATGATGATGCTACATGAAGTGGCCTAATGCAGAATCTTTCGCTTTTGATAATGGACTTTAATTAATTCTTTCACTCTAAACGATGGGGTCTTTATGTTTGGCTTCAACGATTTAGATGATGATGATGTGACCTATGTGTGTGCTTCTGCAATTGACATTGTGTTTTGTTGTAGATGGTGATGGCGATCTTTGCTTATATCTATCACCAGTCTTTCATTGTCCCTCAGAGCCTCTCAGTTGATATGATCATAGACGAGGTATCCTTTTTACAAGTGTCGTATGTAATGTTTTTGGCTTGGAAAATTTTAATGAACAAGTATTGATCGCAATTGGATTGACTGTTTTTTCTTTCTACAATTTAGATTTTGATGAACCTTACGCTCGAGCAGCAGCAAATTCTATTTGAGAAGCTTAAACAAGTCTTGCAGGATAGGCTGGTCGGATAATCGTGTGTGAATAACCTCTATTTCTGTCATCTGTTCTCCTCTTCCTTGCATGTTTATACATGCAGCACAGAGGCGAAAAAAGGGAATATTTGTGCATGGCGGTGTTCTGTTTTCGTAGAGCAACCCCCATTAGGTTGGAGGCATTCTTGTGTGCGTAAAACCTGTATATTCTCGTTGTCGTTTGATACATGGTAAGTTTATTAAGTCTAGATGGAATTTACATCTCTCTCCTCCCCTTGTATTTGCAGCTTTTGATGGATTGATAAGTAACATACCTGCTGCAAAATTGGTTGATGCTTCTGGTAATTGTAGTAGTGTCCAATTTATGTTGGCATTTTATGACAACATTGTATTTTTATACCTTGATGGATTCTTGCTTCTTTTTCTCGTTTTTCTTTCTAATACAACCGGTATTTGGTATTTACGGACCAGAGTTGTTCAGAATCAACGTGTTTGGCGTGTACATATACGCATGCTACATAACGTGTAATGGTTGCTTCAGTGCCAAAAAAAAGGCTTGGTGCGCTCGAAAATTTAGTAACAAACAATTGATAGCACCAGAGTTGCACTTTCGGAAAAGAGAGAACGAAAAACTGATGTCATATCGACCAATGCAACAGAAAAGGGCTTATAGATATGTTACATGTCCAACTTTTACAAGGAAATTTAAGACAAGATCCAATCTAAAACAATCAAAACCAATCTTTTCGGTCCAATCTAAAGAGAGAAAGAAAATGATTGTCCGGTTGTTTGGTCACGTTCCTCACCTGCGACGACATCTTTACTGAAACTATACTCCTGCCATTTGCTTTGAACCTCTCATTGGGCTTTTGGTTTCTCAATCTTCACATAGGGCAAAAACCCCATAAAACGAACAATCCTGGGGGACCATCCTCGCTGCTGGGCCCGGCAAAACATCAAGAAAGTGTTTGCAAAGTAGGAATTGAAACCCATGAACAAATGCCACAAGGCATGACCCTGCGGGTTAATCATCCAACCGGATATCTCTTTGCAGAAGATCTTATCACAGAGCCAACACAAACTGCCCGTAACAAGGGTGGCCACATACAGCTTTGCAATCCGCTTAGCACACACGTCTTGCGTGTATATGTAGTACTTGTACATTCGAGGTATGCAGAGAAGACACAAGATCATGTAGTGCACCTTAAAGCCAATCTCAAAACGAACCACAGAATGAACACCTGCGAAAACAGCACCATAGAGGAAGAGGAAGGTGGGCATTGTACTCCTATAGTGCCAATCTGGGGAGTAGAGGATATACATGTAAAGGAGCATCTCCCAAACCATTGGAGTCTCATCGCTCTGCTGTTGCCTGGAAATACATACCAAAAAAGTCTTGAACCCTCAACTTTCATTGCAACAATTTAGACAAGAAAAGGAAATTGAATAATAAAGTTACCGGACCTGACAGAATGAGTAACTAAAACAACTATGACAACTATGAGGCAGATAAGTCACTCCACATAAACCTTCACACCTAATGTGGATTATGCATATGTGCATGAATGCATCCGGAAAGTGAACTTCACTATTATTAGCTACCCAGACTACCTTTATTTTGCAACTCATGACATGTCATATATGCTCCTCAAACCGTTACGGATTAATGAAATTTACCCCAGTGCACAGGCTTCGTCTTCAAAGAAACAATCTTACAATAATTGCAACTTTCCATGTGATTTATGATCAGAAATAGTATACTCATAAAGGTCTAATATGTGTATCTTTTCGTGTTTCAAAACATGTCATTCACACTCTCCAGTTACACCTTTCTATCAACATATTAATTTAACTATTGCCTGATAGTCCAGTATGGTATGAGTTCAGCCACCCATCCGTTCATTAAAACTTCCAGAACGCATAAATCATAGTGATACTCACACATGTTGTAATGTGGCATGGTATAACATGCTTCCGATGGCAAGAATCATATTAGATATGTGAAGAATGCCAAATCTCTTCTCAAACCGCTGCCTCAAGGCATTTATAAGGCCAATGAGTGCCAACAGAATGCCTGGAATGTTTGATATAGTGTTGTAAAATTCAGCAATATAAGAAGAGTAGGCATAATTCTTTTCGCAACACTCAATTGTCGATGTGACAGGACCCCAGAAGCTTGATATTCCATCAGCCATTCCTATTTCTGTGCTTGTATATTCTCAACCGAGTCTTTTGCTTAAACCGTTGCAGAGTTCATAAAACCTGCAGCTCATGTACCTGCACAAGATAACGTTGTGAGCAATTTGGCATAAAAGTTAATGTACATTGAAAACCACCCCAGTATCGCGAAAATCACGTTCACCGTATCATGTATTTCCATAGAAAGCAGACAGTTATGACTATCCTAAAACCAACTAAGTCGAAGATTCTAAACCGTAAATCACACATTAATCACACACAAAATCGTAACTTGTTTAACTTCATCACTAAACCGAACAAATCAGAAACACTACCCTTACATCGAAACAAATGTCTAGATATTGATCGATTCAACAAAATCAAAACTAACCCTGACAAATGAAAACCAGCAAATTTCCATCATAAGGGTTGTCAAATTTCACCAATAACCCACACCCTGATAAACGTATAGTCAGATCCCACATAACAAATCATTAACCCAGATTATACCAGCACCATTATCCTCAAAAACACAAGAAATCCCAGCAATATAATCAAATATAAATTTATAATTCACAATAAGATCCAATCTCAACCGTTAAAGCTCACGTGATCTGCCCAAAAAACTTGAAACCCACCAAAAATCAATCATTTCCAATGACCCATGATCCACGAAAGTGACAGAAAAAACTTGAAAAACCCACCAAAAGATCGAACAAAAACCAGATAAAAAGTACAAGTTTATGCATAAGACAATAATAAGCCTATTACGTCTGGGTATTGAGGAACAAAACACACCGTCTTGGCCGACAGAGATCTCATCTTCTTCTTCCTCCGTGCTTTGGCGCGGGCACTCTCTGTCTCTCTCGTTCCCTCCCAAATTTTCAATGGCGTTCGAGGCTCTGAAATTTTTTTTTCTTTTCGGCGTTGGAGGCACAAAAACGAGAGCGATTTTGCGCGTTGTGATTCTTTTAGTTCTTTATTCTTTTTTTTTCTTTTCTTAATTTTAATTTTAGTGGTTTGGGGATAACTTTTTAATTCTTGCTAGGGCCGGTGCCGACTTAAAATGATTGCCCAGCCCATTGTTGGGATGGGCTTTATTTCTAAGTAAATGGGCTTTAGATTTGAACGAATCCATTTAAATGTCTACGTAGCAAGTGTGGTGGCCCACTGACTCAAGAACTCTTGTTTTTCTGACTTGTCAAAATTTTGATACTTTTGGCTAGTAACGTGGACAAATTTAAATATAAGAAAACTAATGAAAAGAGTTTGAAAACTTTGAATTTTAATGATAATGACAAAATAAAGGGTAAAGTGAATAGTACCATGATTGACTTTTTAGTGTAAAAATGTGATTTTTCATTAAAGTGAACAGTACCGTGGGTTTTTCGTTAAAACTCTCTTTAAACATTGTGTCCACTTGTTAAAGTCAGGTTTGGGATCACTATTGATCTCACCGATATTATTTCAAAATTTCATCGTATCACCTGGTAGTAAAGCAAGTGTTCAGCCTCATTTCAAGTAGAATATATATTGTAATTTATTTTGTCAATTTTTCGATCTAAGATCCTAATTCGTGAAAATTAAAGGTGTATAAATTATTGTTTATCTTGTTATTAATGAGAGATAATTGAATACAGGCGGTCATATTTAAGAATATTATTCTCAGTCACTTAAATTATAAAACTCTTTTATACTCGCGATTAAAAGCATTTTACCTACCCTGCATGAAATCTCTTATCTTAAACTACTGCACCGATGTGATGCTCGACCACTAAGATGAAGCGAGATTATTCCTTAAGCATTAACCCTCCCCCTCCCCCTCCGCCTCCCCCTCCTCCCTCATCATGAGAAGGTGTTCCTAATACGAAACTATTTTCGGACAATGATCCATCGGAATCTGATTCAGGCAAAATATTAAGTGACCAATTAATCTAAGCCCGAACCTTAAAATTATTTTAATCAGACGTCTAGATTAGTATACATAGAAAAGGCTAATATATATGGGGATGAAAAGGAAAGTATCCGATTTATATAAGGAGATTCTCTCAACAGTAAGACTTTTCATGGATTTTATGTTATCTCATGTTTTTAATACAATGTTGATAAAGAAATTGACGTTAAACTGCAAGACACTAAAGAGCCAAATAGTCCATAAAAAATTCCACTTTGAGATCATTTACTTAGCATTTCTCTTATATACAGGTTCAGAGTCACTATCATATGCTTCCCACTAATGGCAAAGAATTGGGTCACCTTTATATATAATGATCCCTTTTAGCTTTGTTAAATCAACGATTAACAAAATGGATTAGGGCAACATGCATGATTAATCAATGTATCTAGCTCAAAAAGCAGTCGTATACATGATCTTAGACATGCATTAGGACTTATACCAGAGCTGATGTAATATGCTTTTATTTACATCCGTTCAAAGAGAATGAAACAAATTTCCATGAAGCTTGATATGTATAGGACCAATTGGAAGTACTCGATCGGGCGATATCAAGCAGACAATGTTCCCTTTTCAGTTGGCCAAAAATGGATGACAAAATTGACTGATGGCGACAAGCGACAGATCTTGACAAGCACTTTTACCACACATCTATATTGCCACGATAAACTATGTAACATGTTTAGCTAACTAACTACGGTAAGATATGAAACTTCTAATTGGACACGAAATCTCCTCAAACTAAGTTGAGATGAATACAATTAATAATATTTCTTTAACATTACGAGAAAGACTTCTATTTATAATATTGTATACTATAATGATTCAAACTAAATAAATCTTAGATCCGCTTACTTGCACTACAAGACACCAACCTGTATCCCACATCTCTTGCGTGCGGCTCAAATCTCTCAACGTACAACGGTGCTCCTCTCTCTGATGCAACAGATTGTAGTATTGTTGCCAGCCTTCAGTACCTCACTCTCGCTAAATTGGACATTTGTTATGCCATCAATGATAATATTCCACAATAATTACGTATTTTTATTGAATAAGTTCAAAAATAATAAAATTTCGTTATTAACTTAAAATACTAAGTTCAAAAATAATATTCCACAATAATACGATGAAAAATCTAGTGAACTTGAACACTATACTGCACTCTATTAACCATCCACACGCATATGCATGTACTGTCAAAAATTCAAAAATTTGCCTTTTTAGTTGTATCCACTCTGGCGGCTAGAATGTATTTGAGTTTCTTGTGATTACTTTAGCTGTTAAATATTTTAACACGGTCACGGTTTTCATGATTAACTAGTGTAACTTTGCAATGACATTGGTTTAGAACAAGACGAAAATTTTATATTCAATGCATGTGGACACATTTCTGTTCATTGAACCTGGACATTAGTAATGATTATCAGCTTTGATTTGCCACATTCAAGATGAACGATGACGTACCACACGGGTGGTTCAATAGTTAATGATGAATTCTATGTTGGTATCTTATACGGTACAACTTGAGTTCGATTCTTAACGCATATAAATCATAACAAGATAGTGGTGGAGGAGGTTGAAATGCCTCTGTAAATCTTTCTGACCTCGAATGAATGAACTACAGTAGAAAAGTCACCTGTTAATCTTCTTTTTGAAAAAAAAAAAAAAAGAAACGACGACGTATTTGGCACGTTAGAGAGTATGCGCAGGCCAATGAGTGCCAAACTTGCCACATTGCGTTAAAAACTCACTCAAGTCACCAATCCATACACGTGAACACCTATGCAATTCCTAAATTAGTATATCAACTTAAAAAATATGAAGTTTGAAACTTTCAAAATAGAAGCATATTCTAATTGTAGAAGAAGGAACAAACCACGATGGAGGGAAAGGAAGAAGAAGAATAGAAGCATATTCTACCTTCCTTCCTCTGCATATTGCATATGTTAGTTTGGATAACTAACCGTGTCGAACTAGTTTTTGTTAGCAAAACTTATATTTTTAAGCTAACCATGAACTAAATATTGCCAGGAAATCAAAATTGAATCGCAAAACAAATAAACTGAAGATTGATACTAATCTTTTTTGGATTGTGTTTTCGGAGATCTTTGTTGAACAGAAAAATAAAAAACGAGAACTAAATTGAGACAAATATTTCATGGAGTGAACATACAGAATAAACTATGAAGCATACAGAATAAACTATGATCACTCCATCACTTATTTGGTAATTGCAGTTTCATTGTTGGTCATCCTTATCTCCTAATTATAATTAAGGAAAGTTTAATGCAAATTTAAATCAAGCGTGACTTAATCCCCAAAATATTGATTACATTATTATCTACGAGTTATATGATTCGTTTGAATGTGCTTTTAAAATGACTAAAAACACTTTTGGTGAAAATGTTTTTGACATCAATTCTTAGAAAAAATCAAAGTAGATCGTGGAAAAGCACTTTAAATGCTTCATGTTTATGTGCTTCTTTCAAAAAGCACTTAAAGTGCTTTTGGAACTCAAAATCAATTTAACCAAAAGTGCTTTTAAACATTTTAAAATCACATCCAAACGAGCCCATACGAACTACGGCGTACACAACAAACGAAATACAGCAAACGGAACCAAGACGTCAAAACGAGCAGGTTCAATATAACTCATTGAACTCAACCTTCCCTATAAATAATGCGCAGCGGCGATTAGGTCTTCACATCGTGTCATCATCTTCCTTCTCTCTCTCTCTCGACTTCTGTCTTTTATGTAAACACCACACCATGAACAAACCATGACAACACTTCTCTCTCTATCTCTTTAAAAAACACCCGTTTGTGTCATTCACTCCAATCATTTCTCCGACCAAGTTGAAGAACACGGTTGGTAGAAAATAATTAGAATGGGAGCGGTGAGGTTTCAGAGAGTGGCGGCGGCGTTCGATGAGGTGGCGCGGGTGAGGCTGTGCGAGAGCAGCGGGAGCGAGTACTCCGCGGCGGGGGAGAGTTTTGCGGATTTGTCTGATCTTGTCAAGTCCTTCATCGAGGGAGGGGATTTCGAAGAACGGGGTGACGACCAAGACGTTGTCCGGAACGAGAAGGAACACTTAGTCGATGAGAAATCGGAGGCCGGTGATTGGTCGGATTCGGAGACCAAGAATTCTATGGAGAGTTTGTTTGATGTAAAAAGTGACGGGTTGAAGAAGAAGATTGTTACTGAGGTGGAGGTTGCATTGGCGGGCATCGGGGACGACAATTCGTCTCCGGCGTTCAAAAGGAGGTTGATGACTCACTTGCGCCAGAAGGGTTTTGATGCTGGTGAGTGAAGTTCTTAACTTAGTAGTGTTATTTATGTTTTGGTTCCCAAAATTTGAAAGAAAAAAGGAACTCGTTACATTGAGAACTACTGAGATTGATATCTAATTACATTATTCATCCAATTGGTGCAGGCCTTTGCAAATCAAAGTGGGTGAAATCGAGCCGGTTTCCAGCAGGGGACTACGAGTTTGTCGATGTCAACCTCAAAGGAACTCGTTACATTGTCGAACTATTCCTTGTTAGAGAGTTCGAAATTGCTCGTCCCACGACACGTTACACATCACTCCTTGACGTCTTTCCAAACACATTCGTCGGAGAAGTCGATGAGCTGAAGAAAATCGTGAGGCTAATGTGCACGGCGATCAAACAATCTATGAAGAGCGTGGACATGTCAATGCCGCCATGGCGGCGAAACGGGTACATGCAGGCCAAATGGTTTGGATCCTACAAGCGCACAACAAATGCAGTAGCATCATCAGCCGCCGCGAATGCGACATTGGAATCCAACCATGGATTTGGTGGTGTTCAGAGATCAATGGGGTTTGAGGCCTTGCCTACGAAGTCTTACTATTGCAGAGATGATTTTGCTGGTAAGAATGGCTTGACAATTGGGCGGTTGACTGCGGCGTTTCAAGAGCTATAGCTGTCGTTTTGTCTTGATTTATTTTTGTTGTATTAAATTTGAGAGTATAATTTTGGTGCTACGGTCCTAATTGTAAATACCCATCTCGGTTTTGATTAGAGAAAATGTATGTAAAATACCCATAAATATTTATTTATTTTTTAAATAAATTGTAAGATAAATTTGTTCCCATGTTTATGATGATTTATCAAAATTTTCAATTTCAAAATGTACTTTGCAGTTCAATTGGAAGTTAAAGTCAATCACTTACTAAGTGTGTCCGTCTTCTTAGTATAGTGTGTCCATCTTCTTAGTAAATGTGGGATGTTTTTTTTCCATCTTCTTACAAAGTTAAAGTCTTGAGGTGTACTCAATTTATAATTTAGCTAATAGAACCATATTATGTTTGACAAAAAAAAAAAAAAAACCATATTATGTCCGTTCTCTTATATTTCGTGTTCAAACTGTTGTGAAGCCCTTAGCCGAGATGGATTGTTTGGTTCTTGCACCCAATTTATTTGTTTCTTTGAAAGCTCTTGAATCTGGCCAAGAAAATGTGGGTTGCTTGGAATTTTGCATAGGAATTTCGGTTCACAGCATGTCTGTTTTTCTTCCCTTGAATGTTGATGATCATTGTTGTGATTTAATTGCCCTTGGTATGCTTTAATTTGGCCTGTAATTGTTTGGTTCAGGGGTTCGCAATCTAAATGTTCAAGGGATTTGGGTAACCGAACCTCAAATTTGCATAATTCTCTGCTGATATGTGTGATGGGAGTACAGTAAATATGATGCCACTTTGGTTTTTGTTCAAGCATGTTTTCTCTTGAAAGTTGTTATTGTTCTGTTTAAGAATTCGAAATTTTGTAACGAGCCCCATCGACCATGATGAAGAAGGATTCCAACCGAGGTCATGGATTAGAGGCATGAGGCAGTGAGAACCGGCTATCTAGTGGAAAACAAGTTCGTGAGGAAGAAGCTCAAGAAGTTGGCCAAACTAATGGACTGGAAGAGTTGGAGCGGCTTCGTGCATAAGGCCATCTCCAACCGACTCGGTCAAAGGGTTATAGAGCTAAAAATAGCTCGGAATGACACGAAAATTGTCCCCAACCGAGGGTTAGGCCAAAGGGATTGTGGGCCCAAACCCCCAAATCAGGCTAGTGGGCTGGCCATTTCCAGCCAAAGGACAATAGCTAACGTTGTGCTGTCGTCAAGTTATCGTTAGAATTTGATTTTTTTTTTTTTTGGACGAATTTTTTTTCCCTATAAATACCTACAACATTACAAGCTGAAGATAAAAAGTGATACGCAGATAAAAATCATATCTAAAATTTGCACAACCAATTACATCTCGACATATGATACTCAAAATCCTATCCGAAAAATTATTAAGATTACATAAAGATAAGAAATCTGGAGTTGCTCACTATAGCGACACGTGTCACTCAAAATCCTATCCGAAAAATTATTTAGATTACATGAGGATAAGAAATCTAAAGAGTTACTCACGTTAGCGATACGTGTATATGAACTCCTATCCAAAAAATTATTGAGATTATATAAAAATAAGAAATCCAGGGGCTTATTCATTTGGGACAAGTGGCACTTAAAATATGTTTGAAAATCTTATTTTTAATATGGTAGTTTAATTTAATTAAAATAATAAATTATGTTTGGACCCTTTAACCCTCTCAGTTGGAAATTGTTTTTCGTCAAATGGCTATGTTTGACCTATGGTCATTTGGCCTCCTTGGTTGGAGATGGTATAAAATATAGCATATTTATTAAAATATAATTTCTTGTAGGGTTATATAGCTAAAAGGAGCCATTTGGCCCTCCTTCGGTTGGTGATGGGCGTGACAATTGAAAAACAAGGAAGGTCGATGAGCTCAGATGCCTAAGTGCGTTTCCACTCTTCACGATCTTGTCCTTCATCATCCTTCAGATGGCCCATGTCCAGGTCTTAAACACTGTAGGAACGTTGAAAAAAGTTATGGAGTGTTCCTTAAGAATGTGTCAAAAAAATGTGTTCCCGAATTCTAACTCTCTATATAACTTCTTCAGTTGACATGGTTTCTCATGCATGATGGAGTGAGTCTTTTGGTATGGATATAACATTACTGAGAGTCATGAGTCTTGAACTACAAGTTTCAAGGCACATCTCATGAATTGTGAATATGCAGATTGTATCATACTTTCGAAAATAAGAACTCCAAGGGGTTCTTAGAGTCACTAACTCGAGTTTGTATTTTCACGGATGCATTGTTTGGAGTCATTAGCTCTACTTTTGCACTATTTACTACAAGGACCAAATGTACGCGGTCTACTTATGTGATACTGCGGTTACATATGAAAAAAATTAATCACTCGTCAATTTGTGATTGAATAATAAATATAAGGAACTATTATTGATATGATACTTCAAAAATTTAATCGTACACTCTATAAAAGTATTTTTACTTTTATATATAAAAATTTAAAATGCATAATTAATTTTTTAGAATGTTAGTAATAATTCTTCGTATATGGGTCGATTATTTTATGCTTCCAGATGTGAATAAGAAGAAAAATAAAATCCCCAATCTAGTACGAATCCACGTAAACGGCCCAGATTTAGCATCAAAACAGTAACAGTGCCCGACGACCACCCAATCCAACCCAAACACGGAAACCATATATACGAATCAAAAACGCACCCCACGCAAATCTAGAGAGAGAAAGTCTTTGTTTCAGAGAGAGAAGGCAAAGAAACAAAGAATCATACAGAAATTCTTAAAAATTCTTTTTTTTCTTTAATTTTTAAAGCCGAATCAGACGTCTAGCGAGTCGCCAACGCAGAATCGGAGATCCGTCAGCAAGATGGAGGGAGTTGGGGCCCGACTCGGGCGCACCTCGACCCGGCACGGACCGGCAACGGTGTTCACTGGGCCGGTGAGGAAGTGGAAGAAGAAGTGGGTCCACGTAGCTCCTCCCTCCAACCACCACACCTCCATCCATCACTCTCACCAGATTAACGGTTCCTCTAACGGTAATAACGGCTCGCATCTCCTGCTTTTCAAGTGGACCCCGATTGCCCAAGGCCAAAACACTGCCATTAGTAATGGCGCAGTCGCCAATGGAGGGGACAGGGACAAGGTTTCTGCCAAGGACGACGGTGCTTTGGCAGCGAGCGAGGAGCCACCCCGCCGAAAATTCAAATACATTCCGGTAATTTTGCCCCAATTTTGCTTGTTTGATTGAATATTTTTTTATTGATTTTGTTGGAATTCTTAGATTGAAGTCTAATTGATGTTCTGGGTTGTTTGATTTTTGTATATTTTTAATGAAAGCTTTATGGGTTTTTTGTAATTGAGTTGAAATCTCTATATTTTTTGGGTTAATAGTAATTTAGGGTTTAGTTTCAGGGATCTAGGGGAAGAAGGTGTTTAAAACAATGGAAATTATGGGTTTATGCTTCTTTTTAGTTTCTTTGTGGACTGAGTGAAGTGAGGATCTCGTGATTTGCATTAATGCTTGTAGCAAGTCCTGCAGTCGAAAAATGTATGCCTTGTAGTCAGTTTTACTAGAATTCGAATTTGAGTTATGAGTTATCGTTTGTTATGTTGAAGTTTGGATACAATAGAGTTGTTATTGGATTGTGGTTTGGTTTTTGGATTTATAAGTAGTTCTAATCCTGTTGTGAATCATACTTCATTCGGCTCACGATAATTCATTTAGGATCGAGAAAGGATTAGCACATTGGAAAGTTTTGTATTTAATCGTAAACTGATTGTTTGTTGGTGAGAAGTGAATTTTGTAGTGATTACAAAATTCAGCTAGTGTTCGCACAGAGTTGATATATAATCTTGGTAATTAAGAGTTAGCTTTTGGGGTTACATTGACATATTACTCTAGACAGTGATATACTACTTTGTTACCGTTTTCCGTTCTGTGGTTCCTTTTGGTATTTCTCTGAACTTTATTCTATTGGAAAGAGTTTCCAGCCATTCATCCATAGTGCCAACTGGCAAGTATGTAGTGACAAAACTTGGTAAATGCAGCAATGAAGTTTGTGGTGTGCCCGGCCATTCTTGTTTTTCCAAAAACCTGCACTAGTGTATGCATGACTGAATCAAGCATCATCCTAGTACATTGGCCGTGTCATAAGAATAAGATCATGTCACCAATTTCCAACTAGAAGAAACATTACCAGTTTCAAAAACTGAGCTGGCTCTAAAATTTTTGTTCTTATGGTGGATGGCTGAAGGGAAAACAGATGGTTTTCTTACACTAGGTATTTAGGAAAATAGTTAGAAGGAACTGCCTTTTAGTTATTTAAAGGCCTAACTCCTACTACAATGAAGTAGTCAAATTTGAGTTTGTGATATTGGGAATAGTTATTTTACTGGTGCATATAGAGCGTATAACATTTGAAAACAATGTAGAGGTTCTCTATGATTTTACACTCTCTTATTGGATTATGGGTAGGATGGCACTAAGATAGTAATGATACTGAGTTCATTGTGTTTTAAGTTGTAAGCATTCCCAAGGTCACCATCATAACATCGCTAGATAGGTTTCCATGATTGGGATGGGGTTAATTGGGTAGGAACGGTAGGATCGTTTTGACTTTCTTTAAGTGTCTTGTTTGATTTTGGTGGCGGTTTTCTGTTGAATGATAACTTCCATTCTTTTGACAAAGCAGATTGCTTTACTAGAAGAAGAGCAAAATGAGGATGAAGAGCAGGTTGAAGATGAAGGTAACACTATCGATAATGATGCAGTTGATACAGAGGCAACCCCCAAGAATCAGGGTTTAGATGAAAAACCCGATATTAATGATGTTCCTATGGAAGAAAATCAGGTGAAACGTTTGTGCCTTTTTATGCTTGTGTTTTTTTTTTTTTTTTTTTTTTTTTTTTATCGTTTCTTGTTTTGCGTTTATGTAGCAAGGATTTTATATGCTGGAGACACATGCTTATTATATGCATTAGTGTGTGAGGGAACCATAAATGGACTGTACTTATCACTTGGAGGGATTTAATTTAATTGCCTTTCTCTGTTAAGAACTTGTGGAAATCGTATTGGTACCTGAACTTTAATAGTAAATCAAAAGGGGTTTTATTTCATTTTGTTATTAACAATAATTTGGTGTTTTTTTTTTTTCATTCGTAGGAGAATAATCAGGTGGTATGCCAAGATCTGAATGAAACGTTGGAGTTAAGTTTGGGCTCGGATGGGCATGAAAACGACAACGATTCTGGTCTGAAAGCTGAACAAACCAGAAATGGTTAGTTGCAGCCAGTAGGTTCAAGTATTCAGTTGAGCCCGTATTGGAGGTCTTCGAAAACTGGCACTCATAACTTTACAAGGAGCAGCTAATTTGTTGAAGCCGAATTCTGAATTCAGTTTTCCGTTATGGCTTTATATTTTACCTACGGCCATATACGGTAAGTGAGTTTCAGTGGCATTCGCGTGTTCTGTTAGTCTTCATTGTTTAGCTGATTGCAAATTATACCCATTTGGTTTAAAGATGCAAATCTTACAATTTCAACATTAAAATGATTGAATTTTTTTTAAGCCGGCCTTTTTGGTTTACTTCTGAGATGGGACATGTACTGGAAATTGTACTGAGGTTGTAGACTTTTGATCTATTAAACATTTATGAAGTTGTAGTTCTTACTACGCTTTAATTAGGCCGATTGTCCATGCAAATTCATCGAGATGCAGCATGGGTGGAAATGTTGAGTTTCATCATGCTTGATTTTCCAATTATACACTATGCGATTAGTTAACTTTCCAGTGAAATTGTGTGAGATCGATCATTTTCATACAGCTGCTCTCTTCCTTCCGGTCGGAAAATTCTGTAGAACCTGGGAAAATGGGGGAGGGATAATGAAATGCTTATATTTAGACGTAAGCACTGCAAATCAAAATATTGTCGAAGAGATTTGGAGGTAACATTTATTAGTGAATTTGGGAATTTTTGGCTGTTCAACTGTCCACAGAGGTACAAATACCCCTTCCCACATCAAACTCCACTGTCCAAATCTCTCTATGAAGGCAAATCGTACATTTGCCCGTAAAAAAATCAAATTCAATACAAATATTGTCCAAATCCCTCGAAGAAGGCAAATCGAACATTTGCGCGTAAAAAATCAAATTCAATACAAAGAGAAGTGAAGGCGGCAACATGAGCCTTGGCAGCCATGACAGGATGCGGTTGGCACAATTTTCGTCATCATTCTTCGGCAACTGCTGCCTCTTTCTCGGAGAAATAGTCATGCCTGGAAAGTAGAAGATTGTGTCATACGATGAACACGCGCGCAAATATTCAACGAAGCCAATAACATTACATTGAACTTACCGTATTTTACGACTGAGTTGGTAGAGGCCTGTCCCTGCCATTGCTACGTTCACACTAAAAAGATTCCAGTTCTTCTGCAATCACGAATCACAGAACGCTAAACTCAAAATCCAGCAGAAAATCCATTCGGGAAAGCTCCAATACACAAAATCAAGAACAAAACCAACAGAATTATCCTTAATGCATGCACTGTCACTCATCTGTTACCCACAACCAAGCACCTTTTTATGTTCTATTTCCACATCAAAGTACATCCATGACTCTTTTGTTCTTGTGACGAATATTATGTATCTACGGTTTTGGAACTCACAAGTTTACTGAAAGCAGGTCTATCACCTAACGAAACCTGACATCTAATTCTCGAACCTCTCTCTCCTCGGAAAGTAAAAATACGTTCACAACTACAAATTAACACATGAATCATGTGAAGGAAACCTAAATTAAACCACACAGAGTACATGCCAAATCCACAAGAGATACGTTCCTAGTTCGTATGATCTACAAAATTTGAGAGTAAAAGCACAAGCCGTATATGAATTCATCATATAAACCATGCAACAATTGTCGGAGTTATGTAAAAGACTCACATAAAAACAGCTGTTTGACACTTCCTGAATCGAGCAACTATCATCGATATTCTGATGTTCTAGGGTAGGAACATTAGGTCAACTAGTTCAACTTACCGGAGTTATGACAGTGCTATAACGTGACCAAACAACTCCAGTGCACGCAACCGCTGGGTACAAAACAAAAGCGGGAAATATTAATTTGAGGGGACTCGATCTGTATCTTGAAAAGATTGAATACATTTACAGCACCACTTGGTTATAAAACATGAAACAACATGTACGAACCTATTTGCTGAGGATATGAAAGGTTTTCTGGTGGTTTGGCGAAGTCAGCAACATTAGCTATGCTGATTCCCCATTTAAATGTGGGAGCCCAAAAGTGAACTGCAATACGAGATTAGTTAACTTAATTAACACATATCACTATCCTTGACAACAAATAGCATTATACTAAATAATCGTGTGTCATACCACAAAACGAACAATTCAATAAGAAAAATCTTTGGGGTGCTTTTGCCTACCTCTTGAACATGAGAAATTTTTCAATGTGCCGGAAACACGGCTCAGTACACTTAAGTGTTATAATAAAAGTGAACCGCAATACGACATTAGTTAAATTAATTACCACATATCACTATCCTTCACAACAACTAGCATTATACTAAATAATCCGTTTGTCATACCACAAAACAAACAATTCAATAAGAAAAATCTTTGGGGTTCTCTTGCCTACCTCTTGAACACGAGAAAATTTTCAAATGTGCTGAGAATACGGCCCAGTACACCCAGTCATCCGTTGGTATTATGACAGTTGGTGCAACGGCCTAGAGTTTGAATACATTTTATCATTGGTTTAGAATATCACATTGTTTGAAAGCACCTTAATTTTTAAAAAATAAAACAAATTTTCAGTGCACTTGATCAAAGAATAAGCGGAAACGATTCAAAAATTCAAACTTGAACAGATTGGTCTAAAGCACCAACTGCTTTTCCAAATTTCCAACTTCTAATTTGTAGGAAAATGCTCAAATTGTGTGTCTTTATCAAAAGGTAATTAACAATATACGATCAAGGAAAAAAAAGGGTACGAGAACCAGCTCAGTCTATCCAACGCAGAAGATCTAAATCTTGCTTGACGGTAAAAATTAAAAAAAGAAAAAGAAAATATAGAGATGCAAAAATTCGAATAAAAATATATGGAGAATAAGATAGAGCGAGTGCGACTCACTGGTTTTAGGCCCGGCCGGGTGATTCCACAGCGCTTGGAGCTTCGAAGCCGCCATGCTTTATTCTCTCTCTAGCTTTCTGTAGCTCGCGCAAGTCAGAGAGAGACCAATACGATCTGTTCTGTTCTGTTCGACCGTGTGTTTTGAGGTGACCAATAGTTTTCGCCACGTGTAAAATTAAAGGCGGTCTGATCTACCCAGAAAAAAAAAGATGCTCCGTAGCAGACAAGCAGAAGCAGTTGGGCTGAGCCCGCGACTTTGCGTTGGTTCAATGATGTAATTTAACTTTTTTATTGTTTGTTATGAAACTAGAAAATAAATTAGATAGACTGATCACGGTCACAATCAGTTTTTATAATCAAAGTAATAGGCAATAGGCTTTGTAGACCGCAATAGGTAATGATCTATCCTACAAATGAAAATCATTCGGCACTAGTAATAATATTAGTCAGGAAATTTGTTTATATATAAACGTGAATTCAAAAGATATGATCAAAAGAAGCTACCAATCTTTTGATGTCTTCAATAATAGCTTTTAAGCGTTAAGAAACACTATAGGATCACAAAATGATATCAATAACTAATTAGAGTCTCCTTGCAGACAATTTTTTTTTGAAACCTCTACTTCTTGCCATCGAGAGAGCACCCCTTAAAGCCAAGCCTTTAGCAACAAAGATTGAATTTTCACCCAAGCATCTAACACCAACAGCAATTGGGTCTCCACCCTCATTCCTGATTATAAATCCAACTACCACCTTTGAGTTCGCCACAAAACCATCAAAGTTAATTTTTAGGAAGCTCATTCGATGGGAATTCCATCTAATAAGTTGCAGTAACTTGCTAACTTTTTCTTATTAGTTACGTTGACATTATAAAATCTTTACCCAAACTCATTATAAGCATAACAACTCCACCAGGTTTTGCTTTTCTATTTCGAAATACTGCTAGATTTCGATCCTGTTCATCCTCCAAGCTGAGAGAGGTTCCTCTTTGTGAGGATAATTATATCCGTACACCATATGTCTTGCGCTCAATTTATGTCAGGTACTGTTTATATTTAATTTTAAATAAAAAAATTTATAATAATTTCTAACCGCATGATAAACGATGAACAGATATGTTTAAAGATCTGCAGAATTCTTATCAATAGTATCCGGCGAGGATCCTTTGGCTCCAAGCTCACTATTGTTGTTAAAAAGGAACATGTGGAAAACATGAAAGGACATGAAGTAAATCAAAACATTTTGAGGGGTAATTTAAGTCATTTGATGTCGAATTTCCCCAAATTGGCGAAATAGCTAAAGCTCGTCGCCGGGCGATGGTCAAGCATGAAGCTTATCGTTTTAGCGAAGCCAATTGTTCTGTTTATATTGACCGTGAGTAGCACCGTCTTGTTCATACTACGCTCCCGACCTTCAAATCAATCTTCTCCGAGACCAGCGTCAATGGCGGCTCGAAGCTTCGTTCTCTGGCTTCATGGGTTGGGCGATTCAGGCCCAGCCAACGAGCCCATCAAGTCCCTCTTCACTTCCCCTGAGTTCCGGAACACCAAATGGTCCTTCCCAACTGCTCCGTCGACCCCAGTCTCTTGCAACTGTGAGTTTACATTTTCACTCGGACAATTTTGGCATGCTTCTTTTCTATATGCATTGGATTTGTCTATGGCTATTTTGATTTGGGTTCTGCATTAATTTACATGGGTTTAAATCAAAATTGGTACTTTTAATTTATTTTTTATGCAATTAAGGGTCTTGATTAGTTGCTTGACATGGGTTCGGAGGATTGTTATGGGAAGCTATTGACTTCTTAAATGATCAAATGCGTTTTGTTTTATTGGTTTCACAAAGCGTGAATTTAAACTGCATGGTTTATGAGAAGGGGGTTTGGACTTGGGTTCCAGGGGACCCGCCCCCTGGCCTAACCTACATTTGCAATGAAATGCTTGTTGGCCAGGATGAACTTGAAGGGTCCTTGATATTTGACACTGCAAATAATTGGTTAGAAATATTAGACTTCTAGTTAAATTTTGACAAGTCGTCATCTAGAAAGGAAACATTTTGTATTGCTTACAAGAGAAACTAGTTGTTTTGTGCTGCAAATTGTTGAAAGTAAATTGAAATGAGTGCTCAGAACCATAGATGAAGAGGGAAAAGATCACTTGAGTTAGTTTGTCATCAGCACTTAAGTTTCATTGCTTTTAGTTTGTAGTTTCAAAATAAAGCTGAGAGATTTACAGTCAATGTTGAAACTGCGGATATCTCTCTTTTTTTTGTCATTGAAGGCATGCTTGGACTTTAATGTTGCAGAGATTTCCTTGTGCTAATTAAGACTTTATGAAGAGCATAATTTGTTTTAAGCAAGTATGATCTAATAGCATTCCTTATGCTGATTTGCTTGTTCTTGTAGATGGTGCTGTGATGCCTTCATGGTTTGACATCCACGAAATTCCTATGACATCTGTAAGTTATGGTTACATTTCTTCTCATATTATTTTAGTTCTTCTAAATCTGCTTTGATAATTGGTAGCACCTAGCACGTGCCTAGACAGTATTATAATCTTGATCTTTTCTCCTTGATCATAAAATTGCTTATACTGTGTTGTTTGCTGAAGACCTCGTTGTTATGTGTTTCAGAATTCTCCAAGAGAAGAAGCTGGTCTGCTTAAAGCAGTTCAGAATGTGCATAAGATGATAGACAAGGAGATAGAAGCTGGCACAAATCCTAGTAATGTCTTTGTGTGTGGATTCAGTCAAGGAGGTCGGTCTCTTTCTTTATGCACTCAGACTTACACACTGCTATAAACACTTGTGCGATTGATTTCTTTACTGCTGGTAACTTGCAAATACAATATATTTATCAGGTGCCTTGACATTGGCAAGTGTTCTGCTATATCCTAAAACTCTAGGAGGAGGGGCAGTGTTTAGTGGATGGCTTCCTTTCAATTCATCTATGGTGGAACAAATAAAACCAGAAGCGAAAAGGGTACTTTTCAGAAAATTTTCATGATTAGCATACGTTATTGTGCTTCAATAATTTATGTCTTGTCATTCTAAGAATTCAAACTTGAAATTGCATTTCCATCTATTGTCATCATACCATCATTGCCATCATCCTGGACTTTGCCCCATATATTTGATATCTGTCAAGTGAAATCGAATCTTCCGTTATATCTAGTATATGCGCTGTCCTCTCACCTGTTAATCTAACTTTCCCAGTAAAATATATTTTTGTAGTTTCAATGTTAAATTTGGTTGAAACGAACTGGTCGTTTGATGTTCATTTTCACGGGATTCAACAATCTGATTACGTATACCTGAATACATGTGCAGACGCCTATTTTGTGGTCTCATGGGATAGCCGACAATATGGTATTGTTTGAAGCTGGACAAGCAGGTCCCCCTTTCCTCGAACAAGCTGGTGTAAGCTGCGAGTTTAAGGTAATAATACGCAAGCAACACAACACTCATCAAATGCACGCATACTCCACTTTTATGCAACTCCTACATTTCATCCGGTTCTAAATTGCAGGCTTATCCTGGTCTTGGACATTCAATAGCCACTGAGGAGCTCAAGCACCTGGAAGCATGGATTAAAAATCGTCTACAAAGTTCTTCTTGATGGTTTGCGGGAATGTGACCTTTGATCCGATTATAGTCATAGGTCGTTGGTGTTGAATCGTTATAAACGTGCGAAATTCAAAACTCGCGGCTATACTCCGACTCATATTTGATCATTGTGGCTTGTGTAAAATTTGCATTGTCTCGAATTGGTTTCGGGTGAAACTTGAATGCCATAGTAAGTTGCTCGTGTGAACCTTCTTTCACTTATCTTCCTATTGTTCCCAATGGTCTTCGTGCATCGCTCATCAGGCTGCTGCCATTTGAAGATTATAACTTTTCTATTTGAAGTTTTTAGAATTTTCAGATCCTACTCAAATTTTCAAAAACAAGACATGTTGTCCGTTTTTGGATTTTAAACACACTTGTAGTTGTATGTTTTCAATTTCCAAGTGAACAAAATATAGCGCAAAATGCATGTTATTATTATTAGAAAATGGAAATCGTATCCGAAAGATGACATCCTACATCCTACTTGCGGTGCCAAATTATTCAAACGTCTATTAAATTTAAACTCCTTTTGACGCAGTCTAAATTGCATGGTTTTTTTATTTTTTTTATTTGAATAGTAAAATTGCATGGTCTTTAAAATACACCACTCCTTGGCTTGTAAATTGTAATAACACCATAAAAATGTGCTAAAGATGTCACTGCTGCTGTATTTTAAATTTATCACTCTCTAATATGTAATTAGCTCTTTTACGCAACATGATTAATTTAGATACGATGGCATTTGCATTCTCATTGCATCTTTTCTATTATCATTGTAGATACGGCTAAGATCACCAAGGCGCTATTACAATAGTATCACACATTGTCATGTCATGTGTAACAAAGCATGATTCATTTTGCAGTGTAAGGCAATGGCATTTATGTTGGATGAAAGTTGTTGCCGATGTAGCACAGATTTGGATCTCCCCGGATCCTTATCTGGGAATTCTAGGAATCAACGAATACGGACCATTAATAAAAAATCGGGCAATCCTAATTAAATACTTTTTATATTTTTAAAAGTAAAACATCATCGTTTTGCATGAAAAATATAAAATAAAAAAAATTTATTACGGTATGATTTTTTATCAACAATCCGTGTTCGTTGCGCAGACAAAAGGGGAAGCTTGAACTGAGAAAGTCCTACCAAGTTGCCAACCCTTACTTACAAAGAGAGAGATTAATCATATTAAGTTGGTCCCACCACATCACATCCGTCCAAACAATCCTATTCAGTATTGACTCACTCTGATGAGACTGCACGTACAGATACGTGTCAGTGTCCCGCGTCTCATGTGAACATTACCCCAACCAGAACTCAAACTTTCTTAATCTCATTACATCACCGGATCACCAACTCCAATGCCTCTCTGTCTCTGTCTCTCTCTGTCTCTCTGTCTCTCTCTCTCTCTAGCTCTCTCTCTCTCTAAACCTCAATCTTCATCCCCAATTGTTTCAGCAACAATTAAACCATGAAGAAGCTCTACCGAAAGGGCACGGTTCATCCGTCACCGCCAATCATATCAGACCACCTGGCCTTCCTTCCCGCCACCATCCTCACCCTGGCGGCGGCTCTGTCACCCGAGGATAGAGAAGTTTTGGCGTACCTCATCTCCTGTTCTAACAGCTCCGTTAACTTATCCTCTTCCTCCTCGTACGCTCCTCCACGTAATAAGACATCCGCCGCCGCCTCCAAAAAGACGGCAGCAGCAAAAGGCGGCATCGGCAGCGGTGGGGTCGGCGGGGACCACCTGGCTAGGTTTAACTGCAACTGCTTCAGGTGCTACACGAGTTACTGGGTCAGATGGGACGAGTCGCCAAATCGCCAACTCATCCACGAGATCATCGATGCTTTCGAAGATGTGCTGCTGACTGAGAGCAAAGGGTTTTCATCAAAGAGTAGTAGGAAGGAGAGGAGGAACAAGAGTAGGGTTAATAATGGCTCGGGTGAGTTGAAGCGGTCAGAGTTGAGTGTGAAAAAGAAGGAGCTGGCTCAGTCTCACACGGCGGATCAAGAGGCCGGTGACGGTGGCGGTGGCGGTGACGGAGGCGGAGAGGTTGACGAGGAAGACTCGGAAAAAGGGTCAGTGAGAAGGTTTGTGGGCTTTCTTGGAGAGAGAATATTTGGTGTGTGGAGTCAATAAGTATTAGGTTAAGATGTTCTCCTCCCCTGAAGACAGCAATTAAGCTCTAATACGGCTTAATTAATGAGGTGGGGTTTAGCTAATTCCATCTTCTTCATCTTCATGTTCAAAGAGAAGACTACTTTATTTCTTTTTTGTGGGTTGTCCGTAAATTACCCTTTCAAGTTCATGTAAAAAGAAAATGGGTAATTAAATTTTGACTTTTTCAGTCCTGATCTCAACTTAGTTTAGTTTTATCATTGCGGTTTAGTGCTTAATTAACAAATTATGAATGTTAAAAATGTGTGTATATATATAATGTGCTTTTTATTAGATAGTAATACTAGTTGGGTGATTGATGCAGTATGTTCAATGCTAATTTACCACTGAAAAAGCCAAAAATGGAACAAAAAAATTCAAGAGATATGAAGGAAAAAAGAAAAGTGCAGGAAATACTTTTGTAAGTTTGTGTGGCATGCATGGGATGGGTGGCTTTTTTTCTTTAGTTTGTCTTTTGACTGTTTAATTTCCACATAGGGTTTTGACTGCACAAGTAGAACTGTGGAATTAGAAAGCTGGTTGGTTTGTGTAGCAAAAATGTCGAACAATCCATCGTTTGTGTCTGTTTTTTCATTTTGGTCGTAAAACCGTCGATTGTGTCTTAAGTGAGTATCTGTGGCAAATTGTTGCCAAATTCACTGTGAACTGGATCAGTGTTTTCGTTCCTGTACAAAAATATTACTGTAACAATATACCAAATCAATCAAATCGTGCTACATTTCACTTCAATTTTTATGTGTAACTATATATGCATGATTGTCTTGCAATATATACACGAAAACTCCTTCGGATTTGCACGTTATAATGCCAGAAAATGTGATAGGTTTATGCACCATGTAATAATATACTTTAGGTACATTACTTTGTATATATAAAACTAATTAAAGACAGAATTTGAGTAGTTTGAACTAAACCACACAATAAATTAACAAAAATATAGTATCGTTATCATTTATAGATGAACGTGATCAAACTTCTAAACTATAAACAAAATGTAGTGCTAGTGACTTTTGAGTACTTTAGTTGAATAGAATAGAATATAGAGGCATTGAGATATGAAATATCCTGAGAAGGGATGGAGAGTGTCGCCGCTGTCGCACTAGACAAGTTTGGCACTCTGCATTCGGCAACACAAAAGTAAATAAAGGATTCGTTTAAAGCAAGGATCCAAAACCCAAAAGAACGTCCAAAACCTCTTTTCGTTGTTCCCCAAGGCTATTGATTCTTTCCTAGGACCAAAGCTATTAAATTAGGCATATCAATTCTTTTCTTCTTATTTACTTCTTGCACAGTACGGACGTAACGACATTCTAAAGTTTATATAACCGATTTTATTTAATAAGATAAAACTTGATTATTGTTGTTACACCTTTTAATAAGAATTTTTTTAATATGCCCAGAACATAGGACAGTATGCCATATGTTATACAAGTGGAGGGATTTTTTCTCTTTCATGTGCTCCTCTATTTGTATGATGATATAAGACATATGTATCTGTATTTCGAGCTAACTAAAAAAAGTCTCTCTTTTCCAACATCCACCGTAGTATATTCAAGTCACTAGTAAATATGTATACAATTTTCCTTCACCTTGTGTATACTTTATATGGTGCATGCTCAGACTCTTCATAGTCTACTCTAAGATTACTATATATATAAACCCAATTGATGCTCATTGTTTAATAATATAAATTAGAAAGAAAAAAATTGGTGGTCTTTCTTTTTTTTTGGGTTGGTGGTGTTTCACTTGAGTTGAATTGGATTAATCCTTTTGAGGGATCGCTTAAAACGACGGGGAAAAAGGTAGGGGAGAGTTGCATTTCACCAAACGTAAAGAAAGAGGTCATCCATCACTTTTGTGGATTAGTTTTGTTAATTTCTTTCCACTTAAAAATATAATATGAAGATGCAATATTACCCGAAAAACCTAGCTATTAAAAAGCTTCGTTTAACCAAACTAGGGCAAGTCAAAAGACAGATCATGTTTTTGTTGGAAACTTGAGTGGGCATATTCCCAGTGAAAGTGGGACTTTTAACAGCGTAATTAAACAAGAAACTCGCTCTGTTGAAGTGCAAGCCCTAACCTTATACCGTTGCACCTAATACTGATTAGGATACCAACACACGAGACACTTGTAAGCATATATTTACACCACGTACGTACAGTATTGAGTGAGCACCAGATCTCTGACAACTGCTTGGAAAAACGAGTTCCATAACCCTACCTAATTCTTGTCCTTTTTTCGCTGTCTTGTACACCCACTAATAGACTGGAGAGACTCTTTTATCCTGTGTTTATATGTTTGTAATCAGAATCAATTTACAAAATTGAATTTCGATTATGAGATTTTTTTTTGTTTTCTTAACTTTCAAGAATCAAAACGCATTTGGAATCAACACAAATTTAGGAATCCAACTCCTCATTTTGGAGGAATTGGACTCCTTTGATGATGGAGGGATTTGAAGTCCGAGACATGTGGTGAATTGGAGGATCTCTTTTACCAATTATGCCCTCACTTGGTTCTAATTTATTATTTCAACACTGCCCTTCATTCCACAAAAGACTCTTGACTCCCGACGCTGCTTATTATCGAAAATTAATAGAAGATTAATATATATGTTTTCTTTTAATTAGACTATAAAATAATTTATTTACAAAAGAAGTTATAAAATAATTTAGTAATTAAAAAATTAAAAAATAATTTATTGAAATGTATAGGTTAAAAAGAATAAAATTAATTGAAGTTTTATTATTTATGGATAATAATTAATTAGTATATAAAACAATTGAAAAACAATAAGAACATAAAATAATTTATTTAGAATAAGGGCATTTTACTAGTCACATTGGTTTTCATTTTGATTTAGTTGAATTCGTAAAGAACTTATACGAAATTAGTACCATTCCTACTTGAGTTCCATAATATTTTAGTAAACAGTTTCAACAGGAATTGGATTCTGACCAATTTCTCTTATTCTAATTATGAATTGGTAAACGAGCTAGTGTAACCATCATACTCAATACACACAAATTATAATAAGTGGAACAACATAGTTAATGTTAAAATATAAATACATATACATAGAGAACAAGAGGGGACAATTGGCTCAACTCTCACTACCCTCAGCACATATTCTCCCCCGACGGTTTAGCTTATCATATAGTCAGCTTGCATGCATCTACGTACCATCACCGTACACGTAGCACTGGAAAACCTAGGAAGTGCATGATTCCTGCGTTTTTAGACGGTCTTGATTGATTATTAAACCCATGCATGCCCACATGTTCTCCATTAGGATGGCCGCTAAACTCAGTTAAGTCTCTAATTAAACTGGCAAAGCATTAGTTGAGGATGCGGGTCAAGAAGCTGGTGTGAGTTTAGTACTCGAGTAGGAATATTTGATTCAATCATACACAAAATTATTAATCAAGATGCAAATTGCAAAGAAACAGATTAATAAAATGTATTAAGTAGCTTTTCAGATAGAATTAGGCTTAGATCACTCATTCCAACATATAAAAGTTTAAGCGAGGAAATATTACTCGCTAAATGTGTTGATTTAATTGCTAAGATGGTGTGACTTTAGTACTCTTGAAAACATAGTTAAATCTACACCGTCCCTCACAAATCACCACGACACATTTTGTCCATTTTACCTGTCCTTTGTGTCTCACTTCATCACCCTACTCCAAATCTGCTAAAAAATTCATCAAAGTAGCACATGTGAAGTCAAACTATTTGCTAAATATATATTTATTTGATGAAGAAATTTTCAAATGCATGGGTCATACTGTGTGCTTTATAAAATTATCAATCAGTATATTATGAAATGATTTAAAAATAATCATACATTATAATATAAGTTGACGACATGCATAGTTGATATGTGATGTACTGCCATGCAACTAACAATGAAGCCAACTTGTTGGTGACTGGAGGTGCATGTCGTCTTTTATAGCTTGGTTCTCACGCGTTTCCTCTGCCTATTTCTTCTCTTTTTGCCTAATCCTTTTCTATATCTGATGATCTGATCTGTTTTCATTTTCGTTTTTTATTTCTTGGCAAATCCACAGCCCTCATAGAGTCATAATTTTGGAGAAATAGAGTAGTGTTTGGTTTGGAGTATTGAACGGATCAAGGGGCAACACCTTTTCACAAAGTCCTCAAAGAGGGATTTTTTAATGTGACTGGAACACACGATAGTACAACACGTGTTTATATACAAGTGGTCAAATTCTTGTGTTAAAATATTAATAACATAAAAAATAAAATCTATCACCACTTGTATAATACCATGCAATGCATCACTTGTATCACCAATATAAGAGGAGAAGACGAGGCTCATCCACAAATATCGGATCGCTGATCGCTTGGCTTTCGTTTGTTGCAGCTTTTTAAAATAAAGTAAATTCACGATACGTTTGTGAATTTGTGATAGCAACTGACTGATATCAAACGTTATGTATTTGTAGCTTTCACGTACAAAGTCCTTATTAATATATGTTTATATACACAACAAGTTAAAAATGTTCAACTCTCGAACAAACTACCTGCATGCAACATATGCATGCATTAGAAATTGATTGGAAATGCTTTTTCTTTTTCAGAAACCTGCAATATCGAAAGTTATAATAAAATTAAAAATATAAGTGTTTAAAGAAAAAAATATTTGTGTTTTCTGTTTAAATTTTTAATCCAAAACCACTTTGAACTTTTTATACCAAATTATTGTAAAATGACTTCTAGTCCTTACTCAATACCACAAAAGCAGATTCTTTCTTTTTAGTGTAGCAGTATCCAATTCAAATGCTTTCGAAATAACAAAACAAAAAACGGAATCCATTCTGTAAGTATAATTGACTTAGGGTCGATTGAAAGCATAATATTTTTTATCCTTATTTTCAATTAACCAATCGCAATGCGTATTTAGTATTTGCACATTTGAGCTAGCTGTGTAAGATATCAGAACTAATGCAAAGTTTGACGTGTCGTTTAAAACGAATATGCATCAATCATGTTTGCCACCTGAATTTGAATATATGATCAAATAAGTGAGAGGTGAGGGAACTTGTTCCCAAACACCAGGAGTTATTTCAATTTCATAACTAAGAATATTGGAATTTGGAAATTTTCTTCTTAAGGAGAAATCTGGAAGAGATGTTTAATCA